TTTTTTTTTCTCTCTCCACAGTGGCAGTGTAAGGGGTGCCAGGTAGAAGTATCAAGTAGGTCTGAACTTCTAAGACATTACAAAGTTAAGCATCCTCACTTTGGACGCACTGCTAGATTTCCATGTACATACTTTTCTTGTCCATGCACATTTAAAACATGGAATGCATTAATTTGTCACCAAAGCAGACTACACAGAAATGTAACAAAAGAAAAACGATCTACTTTTACCTGTCATCTTTGTCATTGTAAGAATTTGGCAAACGAAATAGAATATTTTAGTCACATTAACACACATTTAAAAAGACATGAAAATGTAAAATGTATGTTTAATGGTTGTAGTTTTCAAACATGCATTTACGGTACTTTTAAGTCTCACAAAAGCCGCCATCACACCCCTCACACACTTGAAGATTTTATTCCAGGTGTTGTGAAAAGTTCTAATTTAGCTACACCTTCATTTCAAGATATTTCCGATTTACAGGAGGAGGATCAACGTGTAGAAGGGGATCAAGTTGTGGAAGTGGACACGTTTGACTCACTAGAGGGAGAAAGGCTACCTAAAGACCACATTGAGCAGCAACTAGCCACAGCTTTGTTACAGTTGGAGTTTTTGGTACAAGTGCCAGGTATTGCAGTTGATGAGTTTTTACAGGAACTTCATTATTTACTCAACTCTGCCTCAGTTCATACTGGTGTTGTAAGAGATTTACTTGAGCGTCATAAGGTCCAATTTACAGATGATTTAGTTAAGGATATTACATCAGCTCTTTGTACATCCAATCCAGTTTGTAGAGCTATTGAGAAAGGTGGATCTCTGAGCACTGTGCATAGAAGGCTAAAGTACTACAAAGAAAAATTTTGTGTTGTTGAGCCAGTCACTTACCTTCTTGATAATAAAAAAGCAACCTTTCAGTACGTTCCAATATTAAAATTATTACAACAAATTTTAAATTGCAAAGCTATTCTAGATAAGGTTAATTCAAATCATAGAGGGAAGCGTGAGTTTATTGTTGACTCCTCCTATGAATTTAAATCTCCAGAGGATGGCAAATATTTTATTGAAAATGAGTTATTAAATGCAGATCAAGTCAGCATTTCTATTCGCCTGTATGTGGATGAATTTGAGATTTGCAACCCTTTAGGCACTTCTAGAAAAAAGCAAAAACTGTGTGGTGTTTATTGGGTTTTGGGCAACCTACCACCAGGATCTCACTCAGCTTTGTCCTCCATTTATCTTGCTGTCCTTTTCAAAAGTGTTGACGCAAAAGTTTATGGTTTTGAGCAAGTGTTACATCCACTTCTGCAAGATCTTAAAACCTTGGAAACTTGTGGTGTGTTTGTCCCTTTGTTGGGCACATCTCTTAAAGGTACAGTTCAGAGTATTGTTTCTGATAACTTGGGTGCGCATACTATCGCAGGCTTTGTTGAAAGTTTTTCAGGCGATTTCTTTTGTCGATTTTGTACAGCTAAGAGATGTGATGTTGAATCTGACACGGTTGCCTGTGGTCGTTTTAATCTTCGAACTAAAGAACTGCACAGTGAACATATAAAAACAGCTCTGGAGACAAATAACCATTGTTTGGGAGTTAAAAGAGAGTGCATTTTTACTAAACACCTCACACATTTCCACGTTCTGACCGGTTTTCCTCCTGATGTAGCTCATGATGCCTTTGAGGGTGTTGTGCCAGTAGAGTTGGCTTACTGCTTGTCACAATTAATTTCAAAAAAGTTTTTTACTATTGATAATCTAAATAAAGCAATATTGACCTTTCCATACAAGTGGTCAGATAAGACCAATAAACCTCACATTGTGCCACAAAATTTGTCTGCTCGCAAAACTGTAGGGGGAAATGCCCACGAAAATTGGAGTTTGTTGAGGCTTCTCCCTTTTTTGATTGGACATTTAGTACCTGAAAATGAACCTGCATGGTTGGTGTTGATGGATTTAAAAGATATTATTGAACTTCTTGTTGCCCCAACACATACTGATGAATCCATTTCATATCTTGAAAGCAAGATAACTGAACACAGACAAAGATACAAAGACTTGTTTCCAGCTGCCAGACTTTTACCAAAGCACCATTTTCTTGAACACTACCCTTATTTGATAAAGTGTTTTGGTCCTTTAGTTACACTCTGGACACTTAGGTTTGAGGCTAAACATAGTTATTTTAAAAACATTGTGAAACATACTAGTTGTTATAAAAACATTCCACTGACTCTAGCTTCAAGGCACCAATTCATGATTGCATTTCACCTGAACTCGCCCTCCTATGGTAAAGCCTTTCTTGATGTACCTAGTGTGTCCTCATTTCCAGTGGATCTTTTGAATCAAGAAATTGCTTTGGCTGTAAAATCAAAATACCCCGATACAACTGAAGTTGATCTGACTAAGGTTGCATCTGTGAATGGCATTCAGTACAAGACGGGCATGATAGTTGTTCAGGGGTCAACTAGCGGAATGCCAGAGTTTGCCGAGATCATGCATATGTGTGTCATTAAAAATGAGTTGCTCCTTATTGTAAGGATGCTATGCGGATGGTACACTGACCATTACAGAGCCTTTGAAATAACTCCTTCACCAACCAGAGAGATAAAACTTGTGCATTTAAAAGATCTGGGAGACATCTATCCACTGGCAGATTATATTGTTGGAGCAAGCCGAATGGTGACCTTAAAAAGGCATATCATTGTTAAAGGTTTGTTAAACTGCATTTAACTTGTAGGTCTGTCATTATTATAACTAAATCAGGTCATCATTGGATAGAATAAAAAATAACTAATGTTTTTCATGCCTTGATATTCAAGTTAATTGCTTGTGTCTGTGTTTGAACAAGCAGCCAACTTATTTAGTAATTCCATATGTATTTCTAATACAAGACTGGTGCAATGAAGACAAAAATGTATAAAACTTGTTTTATAAATGGGATTATAAATGGAATTTTTAAGATACAAAAATCAAATGCATAACAGTCTTGGGTTTAAAAGATTTAATAATTATTTTTTGACTGAAGTAGAAAATGAGTTTTTCAGATTATTAGACCTATATCATTCATATATTTTTTGTGACTGGGATTAATTTTGAGCAGGTGAAGGACTGATTGCACTAAACGGGGCATCTCCCTTACAGTGCAGATAGCATATGGCATTGCTATGTCCTTAGCACCAAAGAAAACTTTCATCAAAGGCTATAAACTCTGCACACCTCTATTCACTGCAGGCACACAGGAGTGACATGAATTAGACTGGTTCCTGGCATATTTTTTTCTCCAAAAGATGTTTTTGAGAATAATGAGAAGTTATCAGAAGATCAAATCCGATCTTTCAAAAATATAGAGATTGGGCCACCTATACAATCATGTATTGTGATTAGGACATCACATCACTAATATTTTTATATAAAAA